GATTGGGTGGAAAAAGGAGGGTGTGGTGGCCATGGAAATGCCCGGCTTAAGTCTCCTTCAGGAGAAATTGCTGCAGGGAGCAGAGGTGACTGACAGTCCTAGCCACCACCCCTCGGGATCCCCCAGCGTGTTCGCGCTGAGGCGACATTTCCTCTCCGCTGCTCTCAGCCAGTGATGGAGCACAGGGTTGTGATGCTGGGGCTGGCCCTTTCCTACAAGATGCGTGACACTGGCCCAGGGATGCCCCACCAGCCTGGCTGAAACATTTCTAGAACACTGCTGTGGTCTTCAACTCTTCCCTCCTGCCTTCCTTCCTTGGCCCTCCCCTCTCCCAGATGCCAGGCCCACCTCCCTGCCTCCTCTTGCTTCTTCATCCTTTATCCTTCACAGGCATGTCCCCAGTAAACCTCTTGCATGTCTAATCTTGTCCTGGCATTTGCTCCTCAGGACACCCCAAAGGACACAGAGAGTCAGTGGAAGCGTCCCAGAGGCGGATGGCAGAGAGAGAAATATGCGACCCACAGCAGGTCACACGGGTGCCTATAGGTGGGAGGTCAGGCCTTCAAAGACCCCAGTCTCTTCCCACGTCCCGTCCTCAAGCATGTATGTGTGTGCGTGTGTGTGTGTGTGTGCGTGTGTGCGTGCGCGCACTCCCCTGTGCATGCTTCCATCACTGCATTGACCATAGTCAATTAGTTGGAAAATTAGTTTCCACCTGAAGAAGATGAGTTCCTCAGGTTGTCCCCGACATTTAGCCCTGCAGAAGACCTCGTGTATGGTAAATGCTCAGTCAAAGTAACCTGAGTGCCCCTGGGAGCTGTATCTACCTTAAATTTTTCTTTGAACAAATGTTGTTTTTATTTTCAGGTATTCTGAATTGCATAACGTTAGCTTATTTAAGCTTTTTAGTCCTTTGTTTTTGTGACAGAGACATAAATGTATAGACACGTATAAATCTGTACACCCACACAGAAGGGTGATAGCAGCCTTGCTTCATGGTGGCCACAACACTCAGCAGACCCTTTAACCCGCCCCTCTGTCTCTGCTGAGCCCTCCACCATCCCCCTTTCTAGAAAGGTGCTTGGAGTCTCTTAGCTCAGCTGCATGGGATGAATCTTCTCTGGGTCTTCTCCTTTACTCCCACCTCCAGCTCCCAGCCTCAGCCCCCATCTGTCCCTCCCTGCTCAGCGAGATCAGGGAAGCTGCAAACCCAACCCTTACATCAAAAGGGAACTTGAAAAATACTTGGAGCAAAAACTGCTAACTGTGCATCCTTGCTCCGTGCTGCCTCTGATATTAAATCAGGAAATGGCACTGAACAGTCGCTCCAAACACAGAAACAGGGGTTGTCAACACAGAAACCAAAAGCAATCTCTAATGGGCAGAGGTGAAAGGGACCTGGCACAGGGCCGGGATGGGGGTGCTGAGACCGAGGAACGGATTCCTGAGCCGGGCTTTTCTGTGCCGTTTCTCCAGCGTGCAGAATGGAGCCAGACTCACAGTCCCGGGCTCTGAGGGCACCTTGTCTCCATGAGAGATGAAAGAGAAATTAAGCACATTGCTTAAATACCTTTGGGATGCTCCTTTTCATTTCTACAGATATTTATTGAGTGCCTACTATGTGCCCAGCAGTGAAACAAACAAAGAAAAATGCCTGCCCAAGTGGAGGTGATCTTCTAGTCAAGAATGGGGTCTGACTCTGGCGGGGCATTCAAGGCCCTTCAAGTGTTGGCTTCTGCATCTCTAAATCTAGCCTCTTTGAAATAGCCCCCCAAGTGCCTGGGTCATATCTGCTCAGCCTTCAAAGCCTTAGTTAAGTGCAGCCTTAAGAGCCAACCCCTCCTCTAACCCCCTCCAACAGAACCAAGGGCTCCTTTGCTGGGGATCTGCCAGCATCACCACACTGCCTCTCCAGCTGCAACGGCAAGGTTTGCAATTCTCTGGAGGGGAGGAAATATGCCATGCCCACCCCTGTGCCTCATCTCCCAGTACTGGTCACAGAATGGACATAAGTAGAATTGACACGAAAAACCTTGTTAAAATCCATTGTCGGTGTGGCCGTGGAGAAACAGGTTACTTTCATATTTTTCCCGTGGAAATTTCAAGAGGTCCAATCTTCTTAGAGGCTAATTTGACAGTGTTAACGTTATAAATGTGTTCATCTTTCCTTCAGTTAGGCCATTTCATTCCTTACTCTCTATTGCCGAGACATACTTGTACACACGCAAAAAGGAGCATGTAAAAAGTGATTTGTTGTAGCATTGTTTGCAATCGTGAAAGATGGGAAAGCATTTAAATGTCCATAAATACAAGACTGGATAAAAAACTACAGAGCATCCATTGGACGAACTGTCGCGCATGAATTAAAAAGCAAAAAGTAGATCTCGACGTATGGATGCAGAAGTTGCTGAATAAAAATAAAAAGCAAAGCTGTAGCTCTAGACATATCTGTTAAAACTACATTGTTGCATTTTTTTACAATGAGAAAGTAGGCTTGTGTATCTTGTATAATTCATCTTTAAAAGAAGAAAGGGAAGAAAGAGATTGAGTAACCATAGAAATTCCTGGCTGAAATGAGCCTGGGCTCAGATGCAGTCAAACATGATTCCTTCCATCAGCCCTGGACCGCAGTTTCCAGCAGTGGGATGGTGCCACCCACTTTCCCTGTACTCAGAAGCTTGCTCCCCAAGCTGTGATGAGAATGTGGTGGGAAGCTGGACCCCTGGGCCCCTGAAGAGCATCCAGATAGAGGAGAAGGTTAGAGGGGAGACCAGTGGGATGGAATCACTTGGGACATCCAGATTTCTCCTGAGTTGGTCCTTGGTCTAAAGAGGAAGGGTAAGGATTGGTTTAGAAATGATTGTTAACTAAGGGAGAGGAGAGGGCTGAAAGGTATTCAGGAAAGGCCTGAGGGTTCTGAGATATCGTACTGCAAGGCAGCCTCCGTGTTTGTCTAGTTGTTAATTTCATTCATTCATTCATTCACTATTCCACAACTGTAATCTGGTTTCTCCTGGTATGAGATACGGAGATAACTGTCAACTTCTATATAATTTCCTAAGGTGTGTTTCTTGTATCCCAAACATCAGAATTACCTAGGGAACTTACAAAAATGCAAATTCCTAGGCTCCATGTAGACCTATAAAGCCAGACTGTGGCTCAGGAATCTGTATTTGCAACATGTTTTCTAAAGCAGAAAACATTTGGACTCGTTGGCCAAAGCCTTTCCCTGACCTCCTTGCATTATCTCCTAAGGCCTCTCCCAAATCTGAGGTCTACGCTGACCCAGCTTGGAGAGGGAAGGGATGAAGGGGAGCCCTGCCGCATGACTCTCGTGTGTGTGATTTCCGCAGAGTGACCATGACCTTACCCTGGCTCCTGGGCTCTTCTCTCCACCTGCATTCCCAGCTACACCCCAAGTCTCTCTGAGGCCTGGGAAGAGCCACAGACCACCTCTTCTGTCTAAGGTCTTCAGAACCAAGGGACTGACTCAGTCCAGGCAGGGGGATGGCATGTGCAAATGCCTGGTGGAAGACAGAGCTTGGGCTGTGGAAGGACTTATAGAAGGCAGTGTGCTTGGAGCATTGTGTGTGTGTGTGTGTGTGTTGGGGGGGGGTACAGTGAGAGATGAGGTGGGAGCAGATAGATCATTCAGGGCCTGAAGGCCTTGCTAAGGAATTCAGTTCTTTGTCCAAGTATTGAAGGAATCTGTAGTTAAGCCCAGGAGTAGGGGGTGAAGGTAGAATGAACAGATTCATATAACATGAAAACTGGCTCTACTGTCCTGGGGAGAAGAAAGTCTGAACCAAGACCTCTGTAGTCATCCAAGCAAAAGATGAGGGTGGCTTGGATGAGGGTGAAGGCATTGGATGGAGAAACTGAGGTCTTAAGTGATGGTTGAGCTGTGGGGGGATGAGGGCCTCAGTCCTGGGGAGCAATGATGAGGCTTCAGAGTCTGTAATGCTGCCCTTGGGGTCATGGGGAGGGAGTGGGGGGAGGCAGCCCTGCTGGTCATCCCTCACTAGCCTTGAGTGACAGCGAACTTCTTGTCAGCATTGAGCCATCTTCTCCCCCCACCCCACCATATGGATGGATGGGGGCTGAAGGTCAAACAGGCTGAAGTTCCAACTCAGACCAGAGGCAGGACCAGGGATCAAGGCCAAGATTAGGGGTCAGGCTGAGGCCAAGGGTAAAGGACAGGACCTTGGAGAGGACTCTGCAAACTTTCTCTCTTCTGGCTTGCATCCCGCCTTGGTTTCTAACTCCCACCCTCCAGCCCCACACAGTCAGGGAAGAGGGAAGAGAACAAGAGTCAGCCCAAGGATGTTTGAATGCCATCGACCAGAGGACAGACACGTTCATCACTGCCTTGATAATTGAGCCCTCGGCAGAGACTTGGCAAAGGCTAGAGGCTCAACTGTGACCTGAAAGGAACCACTAAGTCTGCGGAGAGCTGGAGATCCTGACCCAGAGAGCAGCTGAAGTGCTCTGCTGACACTTGGGTCCCTGGGATGCCACCCAGTCGAGATCAAGACCATGTGCTTCATGGTATCCAGAGTACTGGACTTAGGGCCAGAAGCTCCAGCTTGTCGCCACTGTGTCACTAAAGAAATTACTTAACCTCTCAGAGCTTCTTTCTCTGTGTAAGATGGGGATAATCCTCCCCACCTCCAAGGGCAGCTGTGGGACTGAATGAGTTGATAAAACTCTTAGGACACTGCAATACATCTGTATTTACGTCCCTGCCTACATATCTCTGTAAAATAAAGATAGTGAGAGTCACTACCTTATAGGTTGTGAGAATTGAAAGAAAAAGCGAATGATAAAGGCTTTGAAAATTCCGTACAGTTGGGACTGGAAATTATTATTAAATATCCCATCGGTATTGGGAGCTATACTGGCCAGTGGTTGTCTAACACAGCACTGTCCAATAGGAATAGAATATAAGCCACATAGGTAATTCAAAAATTTCTAGAATTCACATTAAAACAAAGTAAAAAGAAGCGGGTAAAATAGCTTTAATAATAAATTCCCATTCCCAGTGTGAGTGTGCGTGGGGGTGGCGTTGGGTGTCCCTGGTCTTCAAGGGAGGGAGCTGGGAAAAGGCTCTGCAGAGTTGGGGTAACTGGCTCCCTACTGGGACCTGCTGTATCCTTTGGGTGCTTAAGGCCACCAGGATACAGAAGCCCAAGAATACCTGTTAAGAAGCATTGGGTTAGAATCTGATGGCCACTGTGTGAAGCAGGGAACATTGCAAGTGCCAGTTGCCTTTGGAAAAGAGGAAGAGGAAGGGACAACTATCTCCTGCCTCTTCTTGGAAGCCGAAGCCCTTGGGAAGCTCAGAGGCAACGGGAGCGAAGAATCCCCTCCTCCCAAGGGCCTCGGGAAAGGTAGCCGAGATGTCAGGGCTCTTTGGAGGAGACAGGCGATCTGACATCTGGGTGATGCAAACGCAGAAGGCAGGCTCTTGGGGGTCCCCTAACTCAGGTTCCTCCCCGGCAGAACTCACCCTGGGGCCCTTGGGACCACCGGCTTCCGTTTGGCGACCCGGGATAGTACGATCCTGCAACGCACTTGGCGCAGGGGCCGGGAGTTGCTGGCTCTGCGATTCGAAGCGTTCCGCGTGCCGTGCTTCCCTAACACCCGCCACCCATACCGCCCCACACACCTCCCGCACTGCCTGCCACTGCACCCATGCACGCACAGAGACGCCCACTCGCACACCAAACACCTGCAGCCCTCTGGAAACGACGGGTGTACGGTGCACCTCGGGGCTGAACGCGGCTGCTGGGAGCGCCGCGCTAGACCGGAGGCGCACGGGAGAGCGCGCCGCTCTCGGGTTAGCGGGCGGGCTGGGCAGGGGCGGCCGGGAGCGGCGCGGCGAACCTCGAAGCCGGCGAATGGCAGTGGACCCTTCGTTCCCTTAGGGAGTAACTTTTTCACCCACTTCCACACGGGGTGCCCCGAGGCTCCGCTGTAGCTCGGACATCTCCTTGATCACCAACGGTAGCTGAAGAATCCCAAGGTGGTGCGCTCAGACGCATCGCCTCTGGCTCAACCTGGGGTGGGTAGGGAGAAGGGGTGAAAAATTCAAATTAGAGTTTGGGAGGTTAGAGACAACAAACTGTTCAGAAGAGGTCTCTGGCCGCCACCAGTCCTCCTTAGCTTCCCTTCAGAAGAGGCTTGGGGTACTACTCCTGTGTCTCCTGGCCTCCTTCCTTTCCACTTCTCTTCCTCGACTCTCCACTTCTCCCACCAGCCCTTCTCTTTTCTTCCCCCCATCCATTACCCCACTAGTCTTTGAGGGATGGCGTGTAGCCTCCGGGTACGCGTCGACCGGGAGCCCGGCACTCTGACCTTTACAGCCCCCAGGCTCGGAAAGGAGACGCCGGCGTCCGCAGGCGGGAGAGGGATGCCAAGGGGTTTGGGACGCCGCGACCGCGCGGCCGAGCGCAGCAGCAGCCAGGAAGGCGAGGCCGGGCCCCACTGTGAGGTCGGTTGCTCTGCAGCGGCTTTCATTCCGGAGCAACCTGAGCGTCTGCTTCACTTTTACCCAGTTTCCAACAGTTTTTGTTGGAGGTGGTTATGGGTAGGGTGGGTAGAAGAGGGACTGGCTAGGCTGGGAGGGCGGCAAAGAAACAGGTTATTGGGGAAGGTGGACCTAAGGATGGACAGTCAGAGCCTCAGTCAGAGCCCAGGGGAAGGGAGTATCCGAAACCCGAGACAGAGGCACAGGGACAAAGAGGAACGCGGCCGCCCAGACAAAGCCCGAGTGCTAGAGACTCTGAGACCGCCGCAGGATGCCCGCAGGGGAGCAGGAGGCTAGAACCCTCAGAGCTGGGGCTGAAGGAACCCTAGGGCCTCGATGGGCCACACTCCCGAGACTCAGGTTTGGTCCACGACATCAAGGGTCAGACAGACCAGAGGGGACACAGTGAGGGCACAGACCGGCCCGGCCGCCTCCCTGCACTCGCAGAAGGCCACAGTGTCCACGGGAAGGAGGGCGCTGGCGGCTGGGGTTCAGCGTCACCGGGAGAGGCCAGTGCGTTTGTCCGGACCTGGCCGCCTGTAGCCTCAGCCATAGTCTGCATAGAACCGAGACGGCCGACCCAGCGTAGCCTCGGAACGTTCCCCTGCTGAGCCGCGATCCGAGTACGCTCTGGCTGCGTGAGAACGCGGCAGGGACAGGCAGGGTGCTGGTCCGCAGCGCCCAGCTCCGAGCAGGGGCGGGGCGGCGGCATGGCCCGCCCGGGAAGCTCCCCTGGAGACAGCCTGATCCTTTCTGCGGAGAGCACGCTTCTCGCAGAGGGTTGAAGACGGGCTCTTCCAGCACTACAGTTGCTGATCCAAACCTTTCAGTCCAAATTTTAGTTCAAATATATTCATTTTATTAAAAATAGGCGGCCCAATATCATACCTCACTCGAGCCTTACCGAGGGCGCAAGAGAAGACAGTTTTCAAAATTAATTGGAGGAAAATATTTTACCTTCTAACACTTGAAAAAAAAATCTGGCTGCGTCCGCATTAGTGGGCCCACCTGACCCCTACGCGCTGCGTCAGTCGTGCTGGTCCCGTACAGGCAGCGGCTGGACACACTCACCCAGTGCGCGCTTCTTCTGCTTTTCGCTGCTCGCGCCCAAAGCTGAAGAGCAGAAGGCGACGCGGGAGGCGGGTCGGGTCTCCGGGTACAGCGAATTTGCGATTTATCCGGTTTCTGCGCCCGGGCCGGGGTCTAGGGAGCTCTTATTTCGGGCCATCCTGTACCCGATACGGAAGGTGCGCAGCGCCCAAGCACTGTCTGGATGCCGTAGTGCGGTGCGCTCAGGGGTCCCCGTCTGCGCTCGGGGGAGGTTTCTCATCTGACAGCCCTGGGGCCCCTCGCTGTGGCGTTTCCGCTTTCGGCCATCCGCCTAACTCGGCCTAGGATCTTCTCGAGCAGGGAGCCGCCGCCGAGCACCCCTCCCAGCCCCTCCGCCCCCCGATCCCCGGAGCAGGGGCGCGGAGTTTCATGGGGGGGAGATCAGCGTGGAACTCGCGGCTGAGTCCGAGGACCGACCCGAGAGCCTGTACGTGGCTCTAGGGGAATCTGTCTTGGGCTCCGGTGCACACACAGCCTGCGTTCCGGGCCGGCTTGGGTTGGGCGAGTTGGGAAGACCCAGATGGGTCCGAGTCGTCGGCCGAGACTTCCAGTTGCGGGCCTCGCGATTCTGCGCGCCTTTGCGCACAGTGGCCACTTGGGGTCGCACTTTATGCCTGTTTGAGCCTCTCCTCGGCTGGCTGACGCCAGGATCTGCTTAATCGTTACAAAACGTTCAAACAAAAACAGGGCTGGTTTCCCAGCAGCCAAGAGCCACCCGGAGCACCGTCCTGGGCTGGCCTCAGCCCCCAACCTCGGAGAACTCAGGGTTCACTGCGTTTGGCTGGGGAGAGGGCTTCAGAGCCTTTGGGCCGATTCCTTCCCCACTCCCTTCATCTATTGCATTTGTGGGTGGGGTGTGCGGGGAGCGGCGGGGCCCGCCGAGTCCTGTCTCGGCCACCACACCCGCCAGGAGGGGGACGGCTCCCGCTTGGCCCGAGGAGTGTCCTCTGAGGCTGAGTTGGATTTGAACACAACTCTTCGAGCCCCAACCCTGCCCCCCAACACACAAACATGCTCAGCCCTGCAAAAACACAGCCACGCACAGCACACACACGGCCCGCGGCCGCGCTGCACACGGAGCGTCCCCCACTGGGCGGGGGACGCTTGGGAACAATGGACCCGAGAGGTGTCCTCCCGGCGCTCATTCTGAGCCTCCTGGGGTGACACGGACTGGGGTTGGGGGAGCCAAGGGTAAAGAGGGAGGAGAGAGAGCGAAGGGGTGGACGAAGCGGCCCAGCCTATGGTGGTGGAGGCGGGGGGGCTGGCACCGAAGGCGAGCGGGCGGGGGCCGGGACACCGAGGGGGTGGGGGGCTGGGCCCGGGCCGGCTGTCCCTCTCTGCTCCAGCCCTCCGCCAGGCCTCGGCGGCTCTCCGGCTGCTCGAGCCGCCAGTCAGCTGACACGGGGGGCGGAGGAGCTGTCAGGCGCGCCCCGCCCTGCGCCGCCGGTCCGCGGGGCCCGTACAGCCATTGGCCAGCGCGCCGGGCTGCCCGGGCCCCCGCGCCCCGGTGACATCAGGGAGGCGATAAAAGGCAGCGGCTGCGCCGGATCCCGCACAGCTGCACCGCTGGGCTGCGAGCGGCTGAGACCGAGAGAGCCAAAGAGCAAGAGAGCTAGAGAGCGAGCGGCGGGCGCTCGCCCGGCGCCACCCCTCGACCCGGCCGCGCGCCCCGCTCGCTTCTCCACCCCTCCCGGCTCGGCCTGGCCCCGGCTCGGCCACAGCCCCGAGCTCTGGGGCGGCGCAGGCAGCCTCGGGACTCTCCCGCGCGCCGCCGCGTCCCCAGACAAAGGCTTGGCCGGCGGCCCCGGCCCGCTGCGCCCTCCGCTCCCCACCTCCCGGGCTCGCCGCTCTTCGCCCCCGCTCCCGGCTCGGCGCGCCCCGGCCGGCTGCAAAGTTTCCCGAGCGGCGGCGGCGGCTGCGCCTCGCGTGAGCGATGGCCGCGGAGCTGAGCATGGGGCCCGAGTTGCCCACCAGCCCGCTGGCCATGGAGTACGTCAACGACTTCGACCTGCTCAAGTTCGACGTAAAGAAGGAGCCGCTGGGGCGCGCGGACCGCCCGGGACGGCCCTGCACGCGCCTGCAGCCAGCCGGCTCGGTGTCGTCCACACCGCTCAGCACGCCGTGCAGCTCGGTGCCCTCGTCGCCCAGCTTCAGCCCAACCGAACAGAAGACCCACCTCGAGGACCTGTACTGGATGGCGAGCAACTACCAGCAGATGAACCCCGAGGCGCTCAACCTGACGCCCGAGGACGCAGTGGAGGCGCTCATAGGCTCGCACCCAGTGCCACAGCCGTTGCAGAGCTTCGACGGCTTCCGCGGCGCGCACCACCACCATCACCACCACCACCCACACCCGCACCACGCGTACCCGGGCGCCGGCGTGGCGCACGACGAGCTGGGCCCACACGCGCACCCGCACCATCACCATCATCACCAAGCGTCGCCGCCGCCGTCCAGCGCGGCCAGCCCCGCGCAGCAGCTGCCCACCAGCCACTCCGGGCCTGGGCCGCACGCGGCGGCCGCGGCGACGGCGGCTGGTGGTAGCAGCAGCGTGGAGGACCGCTTCTCCGACGACCAGCTCGTGTCCATGTCCGTGCGCGAGCTGAACCGCCACCTGCGGGGCTTCACCAAGGACGAGGTGATCCGCCTGAAGCAGAAGCGGCGGACCCTGAAGAACCGGGGCTACGCCCAGTCGTGCAGGTATAAACGCGTCCAGCAGAAACACCACCTGGAGAATGAGAAGACGCAGCTCATTCAGCAGGTGGAGCAGCTTAAGCAGGAGGTGTCCCGGCTGGCCCGCGAAAGAGACGCCTACAAGGTCAAGTGCGAGAAACTCGCCAACTCCGGCTTCAGGGAGGCGGGCTCCACCAGCGACAGCCCCTCCTCTCCCGAGTTCTTTCTGTGAGTCGTGGCCGCTCCCGGCCCCCGCCCTTGCCCCGGCCCGGACTCCCCGTCCCGTGTCCCCAGCCCCGGACTCCCCCGGACCCTGTCCCTGCCACGGCCCCAGCCATGACCTGTTTGACTTGAGGGAGAGGGAGGAAGGGCGCGCGGGACGCGGGCGACGGGAGGGCGCGCGGGCAGGCAGGGGACCTTGGCCAAGGCGAGAGCGGTGAGCGCCAGCGGCGCCTCCTAGACTCGAGCAGAGCCAGAGGGAGGCGAGGGGGTGGGAAGTCCCAGAGCAACTTTTCTCCAGGCTGGAGGGCGGCAAGGCATAGTCGCGAGGAGTCGCCAAGGCCGTCTGGAGACTCCTGGCTTCCTGAACTTTGCGCGTTAAGCCGGGGCCGCTTCCTCGCGGCCCGGAGCGTAATCCAGTCCAGCAAGAGAGCAGCGAGGAGAGGAAAGGAGAGGGAACCTGGCGTCCCGGCAGGCGCGAGGCTGAGCGAAGGAAGGAAGGACAGACGGACCTGTCTGTCCAGGGTCCGGAGAACACTGGCTCTCAGCCCCGAGACGCGGGCCTCAGTTAGGACGTTCTGCGCGCAAATCTCATCAGTTTTATTGCCTGCTCGATTATATAGAAAAAATAAGAAAATCTGCATTAAAAATATTAATCCTGCATGCTGGACATGTATGGTAATAATTTCTATTTTGTACCATTTTCTTGTTTAACTTTAGCATGTTGTTGATCATGGATCATAACCCCCTTGTTTCTTTGGGTGAGAAGGGATCGCAGTTCGGAGACTCCGGCGGCTGCTTGTCGGGTTTCAGTCTATGAGCTGTAGGCTTGTAAATACCCGCCCCGCCAAACCGCTTAAGAGAACCTGGCAGCAAGCTGAGTGTCTTTGTTTGGGTTTATTATTATGGCATTTTTTTGTAAGTAAAAAAAAACAAAAAAAAAAAAACAAAAAAACAAACTTCTGGGCATTTGCATCAGAAAACAACTCTGTCTTGGGGCACCCTTGGAAATTGCATGTTTTCTCCCCCTCCCCTGCCCCCTTTCGGTCCTCTTTTCCTCCCGTTCTAGTTTTCAATTTTGTTTTTGTTGGGAGAAAGAGGACTGGGGTCCCAGCTCCCTAGTACCAGGGCAGGGCAGCTGCAGAGTTTCACACCCTGGAGGCCGGGGGAGTGTCCTCACATCACCTGGTTTTAGGGCTACGTTGACACCCCTGACAAGATAGGAAAGGAAAACAGAACTTGTTTGCTTTTTGTTGCAACCAGAATCACCCCAGGGTCCCCACGAAACTCTCCAGGCCCGCACTAATTGCTGGGGCCGAAATGCTCCTCGGGTGACCGGCTTCACCAGCCCAGACTGCCCAACGGTGACCTGAACTTATGTTGAACCAATCAGCACACTCAGAAAGTACCAGAAACCCAAACATTGGCAAGTAATTTTGCAACTTTCAAGTGCGTTCTTTAGACCAATATGTTATGTGTGTTTCTTTCCCTGCTTTTGAGAGAGCGGGAGAGTTATTGGTGGTGTTACCCCCGCCCCCTTCAGTTGTATAGTAGTTATAGGGAAGATCTGGGTGTTTTTTCTTTATTATTACTTTTTTTTCCCCTGCAGGTCAGTAAGAGGATTTAAGTTGCACTGACAAAAATACCAAAATGAAAGCGTATTTTTTAGTTCTCATTTGAAATTGCTGGCGCTGCTGGCCGGATGCATTTTTGAGTTTGTATTAGTTGATAAATTAACAGTAATAACAAGATTGTATGAACCGCATGGTGCTTGCAGTTTTAAATATTGTGGATATTTGTCCTGCATCAGAAACGAGCTTCGGTTTTTACGGATTCAACTGTGTTGAAATCAAATTTGCCTCAACAGAAATTGTTTTTATTTCATGTACAATAAGGGATCAATTTCAAACCCTGCTTATGATATGAAAATATTAAAACCTA